AGCCAAGTCGGGATGATTCGGAGGGAGAGCTATTTTACGGATTTCAAGTGATCGTTCATACGATGAAAGTGCTTTTGAGTACTCGCCCATCTTATTATACACATTACCGATGTTGTTGTAGGAAGAAGCCAAGTCGGGATGATTCGGAGGGAGAGCTATTTTACGGATTTCAAGTGATCGTTCGTACGATGAAAGTGCTTTCGAGTACTCGCCCATGTCATAATACGCCCAACCAAGTTTATGGTTGTAATCTGCTCGAGCCGTATCAGAAGTTGCCTGTGGGAGAAGTATCTTGTAGAGCTTCTCAGCTTTTGCAGGCTCGCCCAGTTTGAGAAGTATGAAAGCTAGTTGTGACCATCCTCGTTTTGGTGCTTTCGAGTTGACATCTTCGCGTATATGTGCTGTAAGTTTGTTAAAGTCATCATCTTGATTATCCACTAGAGTGAGATTAACTTCGTATAGCCTATCAGAGTGATTATCGTGAATTCGTTCAATGCGATCGATACGAAAAATCGCATGTGTTGTAAAAAGTATTTCTTCCTCTTTATCTTTGTAGTAGCCAACTTTGCTTACTTCAGCAAATGATGTCGATGATTTTGTACAAATAGCCGTGTCAATGTTCATAATGAAGAGAATACTAACTGAATTTGTATTAAATGCTGCTGGTCGTGCAAAGTTTTTGAAAGATATCTCACGATTGCGACTTGTTGATAAGAAATTATTAAAGGACATAAGTCCTCCTTTGGTTTTTTTCATTTTTTCAAAGTCTTCAATGGACAAACCTTGTCCACGAAAGACTTGAAAATTTGTTGGCATGTTTCCTTGTTGGTCGCGATGTAGTTCGGTAATATGTTTATGTAAATGACGTATGAAAAAGCCCATTTTAAGGATGATGTCAACATCCATTTGTCGGAGTCCACGATTGAGCATGGGATAAATAAATGTCTCCGCTGTATACCACCATATTGGTGTATGATCACGATATTCACGTTCAACAAGTTTAATTTGATCTTCAGAAATATCATCTTGTTCACGACAATAATCAGTCAAGTCTTTGATGGATTTTTTATCATCATCTTCGATCTCCAAGAGTGCTTCCTTTAACAATTGTGTATACATAAATAATGGATCAAGCCCATTAAAGCTGACCGGGATCATAGCTTGATCACATCGTTGTCGATCGATTTCAAGTGCTTGACAAATTGGTTCTATTTTAGTATATACACCCTTAACCTTGCTTATTTTTTTAGCCCATTGTTCATGAACCGATTGGTTACCACAAAACACATAAATTGCTTCCAGTTGTGGCAATGCTTCGATTTCTGGTACTATTTGACGACCCAAGGAACCGGATACAATCATAAATACCTTTTCTTTTTTGATTTCACTTAGGAAATTGACACATTCTTGAGCATCCGTAAACGTTGTGATAGATGCCACAATTTTTCGCAGATGTTGCAATGAATTCTTAAAATCGTTATCTGATTCTTGCAAATTGGCATCGAGCCATACCAAAAGGAAATTTTGAAGAATCCGACGAGCAGTTTGAGGAAGTACTGCATTTCTGCTTGTCGTTGTTGTTGGTAGTGATGCTGCTGTTGTTGTTGATGATGATTTTTTTGGTTTATTTATTGTGGAAGGAGAAGATGATCCACTAGCAGTTGATTTTGAATGTTGCTTTTTGTCCATTTGGATAATTTTGATGACAATAATGACGTTGTGTTTTTCGTAAATGATTTTTTTCAATAGGTTTTTTTTCTTTTTTCGTGTTGACACTTTATTTTTTGGTTTGTTATTTTTGTTGCTATAGACGACTTGAAGGATTTCTTTGCCCAATTTTTTGTTCGTTCGTTCGTTTTCTTTTTATTTCAAGAGTTTTTTTATTGACAAAACGACAGTGACGAAACATATATTATTATATTTTAATGCTTTTATTTAATAGTTAAGAGATGTGTGGTTAATCCTCACGCTTCGCTGTCATGGACGATTTTCGTCCCTGTGACAAAAAAAACCACATGAAAAGAGGTACACATATTTGATTAAGAGAGAGAGGAAAAAAAATATCATAGACACTTTAGTGTTTTGAGTTATAATAAATAAATAATTTGAATATAGTATGAAAGAAAGAGAAAAAAAAAAATTTTTAAGTAAACGATAACGGATACACTCAGTAACGTACTATTGATTATAAGATACCACGATAGATGTAAACTCGATGTACAAAAAAAAAAGATTTATAGCTGATTTCATATATGGTTCAAGTACAGTAATAGTAACTCAATCAGAAGCAAAAAGTAACATCAAACAAGGAGGTTTTTGGTTCATTAAATAAACAGATGATCTTTTTACTTGTTCTTCCTTTTTTAACGATTGCTCTTTTTTCCGTCAACAGAACCGGATTGTTGTAATATTCCTGTATATATAACAGGTACATTTTGTGTTGGAGGAAATCGCAGATCACCGAAGGATTAGTTCGGATGATCGTGCATATAAGCTTTGACCAGTGGATCTGGCTGAGCTGCTCAATTGACTTATACCTGTTTAAATTGGCAATTTCGATGTTGTTTGCATCATGCCAACCATGTATACACCTAAAAATTTTCCTATTTAAGGCTTCTAATTTATTTTGTTTTGAGAAAGATAACTTCGGATATATATTTAGAATAGATTGATAGTGTGGTCTAATATAAGCATTGTAGAGTTGGTAAGCCACCTCTTCACTTAACATGCGAGTCGATGTGAGTCGCTTGAAAATTGACAAATTTCTTCGTATTTTTGATTCAATATAATCTATATGTGATGAGAAGGAAAGTTTCGAATCCAAAATTGTTCCAAGATATTTGACTTTTGTTTCATGGGAAATTGTGTATCCCTTGCAAATGACCGGTGGAATTGCAGGTGACACTTGTCGATGAAACAAGGTCCAGTTCGTCTTTCGAAAGTTGATAGGTTGTTTCCACATTGTCGCATATGATATTAATGAATTGATAACGTCTTTAAGTTGTTTCACCAAATTAGGTATAAGTTCTTTTGTCGACCATGTAGCTGATGGAGAAATTACAATCGCGAGATCATCCGCAAAAAGGTGTTTCCAATGTAATAATGACATACAATTTAATAGATCATAATGGTACACAATAAAAATTGCTGGACCAATACATGAACCTTGTGGTACACCCTTGTGTAAAGTAAAAGCGCTAGACTTAGTTTCTTTTAATTCTATATACGCCGATCGTCCGACTAAGTAATTCATTAACCATGCTAATAAATATGTTGGACAACCTAGTTTATGTAGTTTGAGCCATAGACCTTTGTACCACAATTGATTGAATGCTGTTTTAAAATCCACGAATATTGCTGCTGCTGCTGTATTTAAGGCTAGACACTGGCCAATTTGATCTATGATTGAAACCAAGCGAACTGTCATATTGTGACCAGGTCTAAATCCGGTTTGTTCTTTCGGTAAGATACCATTATCGTTTACCCATTTATGAAATTGTATTAGGAAAATTTTTTCGTATAGTTTTGAAAAACACGGAAGTAGCGAGATAGGGCGTGTATCACACACATTTACTACATTTGTTTTAGTTTTTGACAATAAGATCATTTTAGCGACTTTCCAGTGCAGTGGAGAACATAAGCGCGAAGCAAAAAAATTAAAGGAGGACCATATAATTGAATGATAAGGCTTAGGTAATAACTTGATTATTTTGTTTGAAACACCGTCTAAACCAGCCGAATTTTTGTTCTTCAATGCCGAGATAGCTTTCGTAATGTGCTTTAATTCAATTGTAAAAGCTGGTGGTGTGCAGTTTTGCATGTCACTTCTCAGTTGATTGTCTACACTTTCTGCTTCAATTTCAATGATCGATGAAATATTTGCATGATCTGAAAATTGTTCTTCATAAAAATCCTTCGCAATAGCACACATTCCCGCTGGCGTTGAGACGATAGAACCATTTGATAGCACAAAGCCTTGGATTGGTGGAGAAGTGACAGAAAAATGTCTTTGCGCTCTTTTCCAAAACTGGGTGTGGGTGTGGGTTGTGGGCGTGGGTGTGGGTGTGTGGGTGTGGGTGGGTGTGGGTGGGTGGGTGTGGGTGTGGGTGGGTGTGTGGGTGTGGGTG